CAGGTTGGATGGGCAGAGGCTCATGGTGTCAGATCCCACCCCCCTCACACCCCGGTCAGCCCCAGCTCTCACCTTGCAGCTCAGCTGGGAGCACTGCTCCTGCTTGTAAATAGGGCGTGATCCCTTTTCACGAGGCCACCATCATGTCCAGGCCTGTGCTAGGGAGCAATTGCTGGGTTCTGCCTTTGTTTCCCTCAACACTACTTTTCTGATACAAAGGCAGCACCTTCTGAATGGGAAATCATGTAGCCGCTCACAATGTGTCCCCTCATCAAATGCTCATCGGTTTAATGGTGATGCCTCGTATGCAGGATCTAGTTACCTGTGCAGTTGTGCACACCCAGAAGTTAGGAAGATCATTGTCTATAGTCCTACCCAGTTTAAAAGTTCCTGATAAGATTTGACCCTTCCTCCCTCAAATAAATGTACTGGTGGTGATTTGGAGTTGTGTGGGAAATCTCTTATTTTGATGAGCTTAAAAACTGCAGCCTTTCCCAGTCGTTGGTGTTTGTGTGAGGACGGGCTGTGGAGCCACAGGGCTGGAGCAGCTCAGCCTGGGATGAGAAGTGCCAGGCTCAGTGCAGATCAGCCTGGATTGGGGGGCAGGGAGACTGGACGATTTTCACAATCAGACCATGATGAGATGCCAGTTCACAGATCAACAAGTAGTGCATGGACCTGTCACCAGAGAGACAGGCTTCTCATCTTCAGAAAATGTTCCACCCAAACCCCTAACTGTCTTCTCTGCACTGTCCAGCGTTTGCAGTTTTTACTGAGTCTTTCGGTGCAGTGGTTACAAGATTACAGAAGGGGCCGGCATGGGACCAGCATAAGCACCAAGCTCTGCCTTCTCTAGAAAAGGCAGAGCGCCCCTCCAGTCACTTCTGCCAAACGCCGGGTTCTATAAACAGGCAAAACTTACAAATAAAACGTCCTGTCCTGGAGATCATGGGCTTCCATCTAATGCGATTTGAATTCCTGTGAAGTCCAGCTAGGTTCCTGTGGGTTTTTCTTTGCCCTTGCTCTAACATTGCAGTCTGGTGACTTTGGTCATGCTTCCTGACGGAGGAGGATGGGGTCACCCCCTGGCAAGGCCCCTGGACGCTTTTGCAGAACTGGCTTTCCCCAGTGGCCTAGTAACAGTTGACTCAAGAGCAGTTTCTAAGGGATCCTTATTCCCCAAGAACACATGGAAGTGCCTCAGTGGGGGTCCTTATAAATGTACATTGGCTGAGGCCGCTTAGTTCTTGTACTCACCTCTGATAGCTAAAGTAGCAGGACAGGGGAGTATGTGGCTAGGTGAGTGGGCCAGGCCCTGCCACCATCATTCTTGTAGAGAAGGAAGGCCCTTCAGGGATGAGTGTGCCTCACAGCCTTTTGCCTTTCTACAGCCCAGGGTGGCTTCCCATAACAGTGGCCACTGTTAGAGGTAACTTTTCTTCTTGTTGCTCCGCATTCAAATCCTATGTCTGTGCTGATTACTTCCTAAGGTCCCCCAGATTTAGCGCTGCTTGCCTCTCTGCAGTCCTGTGTTGAGCTTGCCCTGAAGGGCCCCTCCCTCTATATTTTTAATTGAGCTGAGTTCAGGTTTTACCCCTAACTTCTAAAGCAAATTTTCACCTCAATATTTAGGTGCACGTATTGTGTAAAGGCTCCCTTTGTTCCCTGGTTCCCTCAGCCTTTGAGGGCTGAGGCCTCACCTGCCCTCTGAGCACCTGGCATGTTCCCTGTCAGGCAAGGAGACTAAAATGACAAGGTCCACATTTTGACAGAGGAGGTTGGTCAGGAGAGAAGCTGAGCTGTCAGCAAAAGGAGGGGTGATGGAAGCAGGAATGTTTTGGGAAGCCAGTCACCCTCCTTGCTTCCTGGAACACTTAATTCTGATGGACAAGGCTGGAAAAAGCCTGTGACAGCCCTTTTGGGACCCCCTGTAATAAAGCCTGAGGTGGCAGAGGAATCTTGTGCTGGGCCCCCACTGGAGTCCCTCTTGATACGCTGTTCCCCAGATGCCTGGGGGCCGTGTAGCATGGTGCTGGAGCTGACCCCTCCCCGCCCTGATACGAGAGGCCCGAGTGCTGGCCCCCTGCCCTCTGAACATACCCGCCCATCGTGTCCTCATGGGCCTGTGCTGACACATCCCCTCCCTGCCCATTTGTCACAGGCTGGCTTGACTGTGTGGAACAACATGTTATTTCCCCCCAAATAAGCTTCTAAAGAGGTCCCTGCTCCTGGTCTTGGATAGGTTCCCTCATGTGACAGTTTTCCTGAGGGCTGACCACAGGTGTGCTTCACAGGAGGCAGGGTCCACTCGAAAACTAGGGAATAGGGCTTGGGCCGCCACAGTTCTGCAGTGCCCAGGGGCTTCCACAGCTGAACGCCTCATGGGACCCAGGAGGCAGTGTAAGAAAACAGGAACACAATTTGGACCAACATCTGGAAATCAGCATAATGCACTTTTATCCACAGATACAGAACAAAAGCCATAGGATCACCTCAGTAGACACCAAAAAAGTAATTGGCAGAATTCCATACCCTTCATGATTTAAAATAAAAAATCCAGAAACCTAAGAATAGAGAACAGCCTCAACCTGATCAATGATATAACCTGGTAAGTATGAAAAGCCCACAAGTAACACTGAATGGTGGAAGACCTAATGTTTTCCCCTAAGATCAGGAACAAGAAAAAGATGGTTGCTCTTGCTGCTGCTTAGCATTGCACTAGAGGGACTAGCCAGTGCAATTAGGCAAGGAAAAAAAATTACCTGGATCAGAAAGGAAGAAGTAAAACTATCTCTGTCAATAATATGATCGATCTTATGTGTAAAAAATCCTAAGGAATCCACTAAAAATACTTCTATAATTCAGCAAAGTTGTAGGATTCAGAATCTTTATACAAAGAGCAATGGTATTTCTATACACTTGCAATTAAACAAAGGGAAAAATGAAAATAATTTTATTTACAACAGCATCAAAAATAACAAAGTACTGATGAACAAATTTAACAAAAGAAAAACTTAACACTGAAAACTAAAACATTGTTAAAATTAAAGAAGGCCTAAATGAATAGAAACACATCCCCTGCTCATGGATTGGAAGGCGTAAGTAACATAGTTAAGATGACAGATTACACACACTATTAAAACCTCAGCTGACTGCAGAAATTTGACAGGCTGATACTAAAATTAATATGGAAATTCAAGGGGCCCAGAATAGCCTAAACAGTCTTGAAAAAGAGTAAAGTTGGAGGACTTGCACTTCCTGATTTAAAAACTTAACTGCAAAGCTACAGTAATGGTGTGGCACTGGCATAAAGATAGGCATACGGGCCAATGGGGTAGGATTGAGTCCAGAAACAAACGGCTTTTATGGCCAACTGATTTTGACAGTGGTAATGACAATTAGATGGGGGGAGAATAATCTTCAACAAAAGGTGCTGGGACAATGGGACATGTACATGCATAAGGATGAAGTTGGATTCCATTTTATACCACATACGAAAACTAAAAATGTATCAGATTTAAAAGTATATAACTAGAAAACTCTTAGAAGAAAACATAAAGGCATAAGACTTTGTGACCTTGGATTAGGCCCTGGTTTCTTAGTCATAACATTAAATTGATAAATTGGACATTGTCAAAATTTAAAACTTGTGTTCAAAAGATGTGTATCATTAACAAAAATTAAAAAGACAACCGACAGAATGAGAAAATGTTGAGAAGGGGAGGGAGAGTTGGAAGGAGAAGGAGTGACTGCTAATGTATGGTGTTTCTTTCTGGGGGGATAAAAATGTTTCAAAGTTGACCATGTCTGATAGCTGCATAACCCTGTGACACACTTAAAACCATTGAGTGATACAATTTATTTGTAGAGGGAAGGGAAGGTAGGGAGAAAGAGGGAGAGAAACACTGATGTGGAAAGAGAAACATGGATCAGTTGCTTCTTGCAAGTACCCCCAACTGGGGACCGAGCCTGCAACCCAGGCATGTGTCCTGATCAGGAATTGAACCAGTGACCTTTTGTTTTGCAAGATGATGCCTAACCCACTGAGCCACACCAGTCAGGGCTTGAAGGTTACCATTTAAATGAGTAAATTTAATGTCATATGAGCTCTATCTTAATAGAGATACATTATATCATATACATATCTGGAAGGTGTGCAGCCCTGGCCTGATTTGGATGCTTCCTGTTTAACTGCTCACACTGCTTTGGCCTAGAGACAGTAACTCTGCTCTTCACCAACCCCAGCCTGGTCCCAAGTCACCCTCATTTGTCTACTATTGCTTTCCCTACACACACACACTTGTGCTCTTCTGCCCCACAGCACTTGTGGACAATCCTGCTGTGCTCCCCTGGCGGAGTGTTGGAAGGGGAGGTGTCTCCAGAATCTTTCCCAAGACCCCTCCAATACTAAGGTTAGCAAAGCCATGTGTGAGCTACATTTCTGACCTTGTGTTCCAGGTGGGCCTGGGTAGCAGCGCTCCTGTGAAAGAGGTTGTCATGCTCCTCCTCGACCCTGGGCCCCAAAACCAGTTTGGCCCTGCTGGTGACTTGGAGCTGGGAGAGTCAGCCCAGCACCCTTGCTTTCCCTTGGCCCTTTTCCCTCCGTGCGAGCAACCTGAAGACTTGGAGTGGGGGATAGGTTATAGGAAGGTAAGAAAGGGTGCTCCAAAGAACTAAATGGAGTTATTTGGAAATAGAGGGAATGTGAGAGAGAAGGAACAGGTGCTACAGGTTGGTAGGAGGAAGTGTTCAGCCTCTTCAGGGCCACCCTCTCCTCGCAAGAATGGAGACTATGGGTGCTCTTACACTTCAGGGGTTGGGGCTGCTTCCCTTTCCTGGTCTCTGCCCTCCCACCCACAGGACCCCACCAGGTGGGGCTTGTTGCTCTGCCCCTCACACCTACCCCACCCCCACCGGCTACACAGCAAGTCCAGGGAGAGGCAGGCACTGAGGGAGAACCCCCTACCTTGCGTAGATAGACAGCCCCAGGCCAGGCACGCAGGGATACCCCAGAATCCCCACCTACCCACATGGACTGACACAGGAGGGGCAGGAGGCGTCCAGACCAGATGTGCGGTTATCAGGTGGCAGCCTGAGCTCTCTGCCAGCCAGGCCAAGACGTCTGGGTGAGCCACAGGCCCTGCAGATTTTCCCTCCCAGAGGGCTCTCAGCCAAGAAGCATCTTGTTAGGGGGGCTGGGGACAGGGTGGGGAGGCGACAGAGGACAGCTGACCTCACCCTGGGAAGGCATGCCTGGGAACATCCCAGGACTCCAGGAAGAGGCCAGGGGCTGGTAGGGTCCAAGGGGTTCCTGGGGAGCCCTGAGATCTTCTGTCCCTAGAAGAGCAGGACCATGGCCATAGGAACACTGCTCAGAACAGCCTGCAGCGTGCTGAGGGGTGGGCTACCCCAGAGGCAGAGGCATTCCCGAGACAGTGCCAGGGACTGGCACTGGCATGGAGTCCAGCCGGAAGCTGGCGTGAGGGGGCTGCTGGGCCACAGAGCAGGACTTGTCCAGGAAGCTGGGGTCTCTTGGAGAAAAACAATCCAGAGTGAGCATGAGGCCAGGGTCCCCCCACCAGGCCTTGCCTTTGAGTGAAATTCAGAAGATTCCAACCAGCGCTAGGGGTGGCAGTAGCAGTAGACTCAGGAGAGGGCCCCAGATGCGACCAGGGCCCGAGTTCATCCCTGAATGGATTTCAGGCTTTACAGGATCCTCTGTACCTGTAGGGAGGGAGAAGGTTTGCCTCAGCCTGGAGATAGTTCTGCCTGAGCCCCCACTCATTCCACCAGGCATGCAAGGAGGGCCCCAGCACTCAGGGAGCAAGCTCCTATTCAGAGGGTACATGTTCCCTATGCCCTGACCACCTATGTTGGAGACAGTGTTGACAATCTGGAGTCAGGAGGGAAGGTAGAACACTAGAGGCCTTACCTGGAAAGGATGACTGCAGTGCCAGGATTCGTCCGCCCATGGCATTAGCGGTGGCAGAGGTATTGGGGAAGTTGGGCAGGGACTTGGAGAAGGTGTGCCCCGTGTGGTCCAGGGTGGCATGTGGCTCACCTGGCTCAGCCTGGGTTGGAAAAGCTGAAACCAAGACCTCCCTGGAAGAAGGCAACTCGGCCTCATCCTTGCCCTCCCTCTGGGAGCTGGGTAGCAGCTCTTGTGTCCCTGTCAGGGACACCTTGAGGTGCACAGAACTCTCTGGGCTCCTGGAGGGCATTGTGGTCTCACTGGCCTCTTTGTCTACCGATTTGGAGATGGGACCATGGGTCAACTTGGGGGAGGTAGCTGGCCCCTCATCCAAGGAGAACGGGCTCTGAGTTTGCAAAGACCAAGGGACCTCACTAGTTAAGGAAGGGGGAACTTCGGTTGCCATGGAGGGGGTGCCTTCCGTTGCCAGGGAAGATGGGGCCTTGGTCTCTACAGCAGGTAGAGCCTTGGTTGTCAGGGAGCCCGAGACCTCTGTTACCAAGAAGGATGGTGTTTCTCTTGCTAGGGAAGAAGAGCTACCCCCTTTCCTAGAGCCTGAGGCTTCAGTTGCCAGGGAAGATGGGGTCTCAGTTACCAGGTGAGGCAACTCTTGAGCCTCCTCCGAGCCTCTGATGGGTTCTGCTAAGAGAAACAAGGCCGGACATTAGCGCTTCAAGCAGGACCCCGTATCTTTCACCCCACCGCAGTCAAGGTGAGGCAACCAAATATCCCACAAAGACACACACATATACACCCCCTCCAGCGAATATGTCCCTCATTGATAATATGTTATTTCTTCTGATTGACACAGTTGTTCCTCTATCCACCTCCTTGTTCAAGTCCTCCCTGCTCTTGCACTTCCACTTTTTCAGGGCTCTTCTCCAGCTGGATTCCAGTTCCTAATACGCCAACTGGAGTCCTTCTGACCACGCCCACCAATAGGCCCTGCCCACTCAGGCTTCCCACTTCCCCGCCTGACCCACGCCCACGCGCGGCTCCCGACTCTGCTGCCTTCTGCTTGGAAGGTTGAAATCCACTCACTTGGGATGACTGGACGCCAAAGTGGCTGCGAAAGGAGGGCAAAACGGGCTTGGGAACCCGGATGGGGTGGGACCTCCGAGGGCCCCTGGAGGTCGCGTCCCATCAACCCCTCCCCTGTCCATGCATCGCTCAGAAGCCACAAGAGCCTCCCGACCACCTGGTTGGTGTCCCTTCCCTATCTTTCCTCTCCCTCCCCACCCCATCCCCAACTCACCACAGAGGGAGTTCTCGCAGCTGTAGCCAGAGGGACATTGGGAACACGGGGTCCCCTCCTGGTAGGGCCTCTGCCCCTTCACGTTGCCCCTGCAGGAGGCCAGGAAGATGCTAGGGGTGGGGAGGTCTTGAGCGACGCCCCGACCCTCAGACACACACCTACAGCGGGAGTGGCCCTGGCTCTTACTTGCCCCCAACTAACGTGCTGGGTCTACAAGAGTAGGCTCCTATAGGTGCCCTCGCAGCTCCCCAGAGGGTATAAGGGCACAGGCTCCAGGTTATCCCCCTCCCACACCCTTAGACTGTGTATAACCCAGTTTCCCTTTGACTCTGACCACCAGTAGGGCTCCCTCGGACTCACGGGGGCTCATAGTTGCAAACCAGCAAATGGATATTGGTCTCTTCAATCCCTTGGATCGTCTCACAAAAGTGGGAGCCACAGCCAATCTTCTCAGTCTTGGCCCAGACCACCTGAAGGAGGGCAAACCCAACAGTTCGGTGTGATTGGCACAGCCCCCAGGTACTGTGTCTCTGTACTAGCCTTCTACAGGTGGGGAGAGGAGCAATCCTTACAGCCTATAAGATCCAAGATCCTGAGGACATACATTGAACAGGGAGCTCAAGGGGTGGGAGTGGGCGGGGAGGGGAATTTGTCTTGAACAGACTGCTCTCCCCTGCCAACCACTATTTCACCAGGCCTCTCTGCCTCTGAAAACCTTCCATTTTGATATATTCTCATGAATTCTTCCTTCAGGCTGTTCCTAGAGGCTTTTGCATTTTAAACAAGGTGTATTTCCAAAGGAAACCAATGGGAGAATCTTAAACATCAGCAACAAGCAAAATCCAAGGAAGGGAACAGGAGGAACCATTTTGGAAGTGGAACTTTCCCAAATCTCAAGTAAGCAGGGACCTGCTCTGCCATCTCTAAGTGTGGGTCTCCTAGCTGCTAGAAAGAGTTGTATCTTAAGTATAAAATTTAAAACGTCAAAAGAGTCTTTGTGCACTACCGTGGGCTGAGACCAGTAGCCTCCCCTAGCTATTTCTAGGCCCAGACTGCCCAGGAGTCTCACAAACCGAGTCCAGTTTTTGCTGTGAGATCAGGCTCAGGCTGTTGTCTATTAATACTGCACACACTCCAGGACTGGGATCTTTCTGCTTAAATCAGCTGAGGGCCCCCCGTTGTTGAACATCTCCCAGCAGAAATGACTGAGTATATGTCCACTCGGCCCTAGAGAACCCTAGGGTGGAGGCTGGGCAGAGCCACTTCTGCTGGGCACTGCCAGGAATCCCTGTGGAGGACGGGGGTGGGGAGGGGAGTGTGACAGGTAGCAGGGTACAGAGAGAAGTGGAGAGGGAGGGCTGCTGCACCCTCACAACTTCCTGATCTGAGCGGGTGATGTTGGGATTTCCTGCCTTAAAAATCAGCACTAAAAATACCCTTCAAATGAGGCACTGGAAAATCGAATTGGTGGATATGGGTGGGAAGACAGTTGGCTTATTTTTGTCTTAAAAAAAAACTTGTCTTTGTGTTATTGTTGAACAACAAATAAGCATTAGGAAGAGGAAAAGAAGAATTCAGTAACACTAATGTTAACCCCTCGCCCCGCCACACACACACCCTTACACCTCTTATCTGCAAACTCAAACTTCCAAACTGCAACGAGAACCCTGACATAAGCACGAAGTGGCTGCTCTCAGAAGACCCCCTGAAACCCTCCCTTAGGGACAATTTGCTCTTACTTACACAAAGTTTTTAAAAGAAAAAGAAAAATTAAATAAACAAAATTGTTTATTTGCTTTATTTGTCCTTGGCAGATTAGAAGCAGCAACTTAGACACTATGAGAAATGACAGAAAAAGGGCAGTGAAAGAGAAGGCAGACGGGAAACGCTTACTTACAAACGCTTTTGCTGGAGCAAAAGCTCGGCATAACTTAAGCCAGAGGACAGGACTGCTTAGCGCTTGGTCAGGATCGTCTCATAGGATAACTACAACTGCCGTTCAGGGGGAAACGGGCTCTGAGACACCTAGCTTAGGCCTCCGCAGTACCAGGAGACCGAGAGGGGCAGACTAGGTTTTCAGATTGTGGTTTTTAACGAGTAAGCTGAAAATGGATTAGTCAGTTTGAGAAGACGAAGTCGTCAGAGGCCTAGACAACCACTGATAACTGTGGAGAGATGATTTTTATGAAGGATCTAAAGGGGCTTAGAGTGTGTGGACTAGGACACTCGCAGGAGGCGATGGGACTGGTGGCCCCGCCCCGCCCACTGCTCCTGTGGGGCCGCCCCCTGCCCTTGCAGCCCTCCCCGCCCGCCAGCGCCCCCCAGGCCGGCCTCGCACCGCACCTGCGTGTAGTGGCCGCACATCTGGCCCGGGTCACAAGTGGCAGTGCTGAGGTTGTAGTGCTCCCGCTCCACGTACCACTCCTCCACCGCCCGCGGCACGTCCATGCCCTCGTCAGTGATGGCGAACAGGTTCTCACCGCGCCGCCCGCGCTCCTTGTTGTGGCCCCACACGCACTGCTTAGCGTAGGCCTTGGCGAAGGTGGCCAGCTCTTCGTCCCACCTCTGCGGGGAGGAAGGTGAGGCCACCTCAGGCTCAGCGAAGGTGAAAGAGGGGTTGGGAGAGGAAGATAAAGATGCCCACAGTTCTGGACAGAAACGGGAGTCCCTCGTTAGCTGAGTGACTCTGCTGTGATCTGGAATAGGCCTCTGCTCCTGGTGGGCTTCTGTGGGAAGGTCAGAGGGTGCTTCTGCGGGGAGGCTGTGAAGTTAGCCAAATTTGGGACCATTCACCAGCTGTGTGATTTTGGACAGATTGCCTAGCCTTTCTGAATTCTCATAGGGTGCTGGGAGAAGGAAATGAGGTATTTGTGGTAACATTATTATTAATTAATATTAATATCTAAGTGAAAGGCAGGCAGCGATACCCTGCCTACTTCCCAGGGCTGCCTCAACTTCACTGAAGACCACAGGACGTCAGCGAGATGTTGGATTGTTTTCAGCTATTCCCCTGCCCACCCCACCCCGCACCCGTCATACTTACCTGTGACTTGGGGTCAGCACTCCCGTCTCAGCTCCCACTCTCCCCTTGGGATAGCCCAGCCTCCATGGCTTTACCAGCTGCAGGCTCCCCTCCTGAGTGCTCCTCCCAAGGACTCTCACTTCTTCTCAACTGACAACTTCCCCCCCCCAAAAAATAGTGTCTCTATGTGACTCTCACTGAGAGGCCTCTTTAAAGAGATTTGGTGGCCCAAAGAGCTGTCCAATCCCAAAGACAGCGCTGTCCAGTGGGGACCTGAGGTGAGACAGCAGGAGGATAGCATTTTAGGTTGGGGGCCTCTGAGGTTCTGCAACGCTGGCTGGGGAGGCAGGCGCATGCATGGGAAGACGGGTTAACAAGGCATCTGACCAAAGGGTTGAGGAAGGAGGCCTGGATCCCATTAAACTTTGTCCTGGCCTCTCCTGGAAACAGATTGCCTGGCGGAAACTCTTGCTCCACCCTCTGAAGACCCATCCAGCTGTGGGAGCCAGGCAGCCCATAAAGCACCAAGGGCTTGGGTGACTCTGAGGGGAGGGGGCTGCGTGTCCACACCCACTCCCTAGCCATGCCAGGTTCTCAGTAGCAGCTGCCTGGGGTGTGGATGGGAGTACTGGGCTGGAACAGCCCCAGTGCTGTGACTGGGGGTGAATCCCTCTCTCTCTCTGGGCTTTTTTGTCCCAAAACACTGGTGCCTGAGGTTCTGTCACACTCTGGCAGTAATGGGAGCTAGAAAGCGGTAAAGGGGCTGGGATGAGGATGAGAGTGTCTGGATGCCCTGCTGGACTCCAGACTAGACGGTAAACTCCTTCAGGGTAGGGCTGTGACATAGCCCCGCTGCCTGGCACAGCGCTGGCACACAACATGTGCCCAACAGATATTTGTCAACTGTTGATGACTGAGACAGAGCCCTGCTTAAAGTGACCCCCACTGCATAGCCTGGCTGTCATTTCCATCCTGACTAGCTGTCTGGGGTGCCACTATTAGAGAATCATTGCTTTGGGTCTTAAGGCTTCTCAGTCATTCAGAGACACTTGAGGAGTTTCAGGAATCACAGCACCCACCCACACTGGCCACATGGTCACCATGTGACAACAAGTCCATTCATTCACTCACTCACTAACTCATTCATTCATTCAACAGTCTAGGGCACGATGCCAGCCCCGAGGAAACAAGGAGCAAGAAGCCCAGATTCACATTATCATAAGCCATTAATTGGGTCATCACGTAGTAAATGACAGGTATGCAGTGGGTATTATAGAGGCACCAAAGAGGGCTATTTAGCCCAGCCTGAAGATGGAGCAGGAGACGGTAAGCTAAGTGTTAAAAGATAAGGCATTGGCTAGGTGGAGAGGGAAGAGGCGTCCTGAGCAGAAGGTGTTGCCTGAGCGAAGGCATGGCGGTGAGAAGCAATGTTTTGGCTGGGGGAAAGACAAGCAGTTAGTGAAGGAGAAAGGGGGCAGCACAGGAGGCTAGAGAGGCAGGCAGGGGCCTGACACACAGAGAGAACCTTCTCAGGAGTTGAAGCTTTCCCCTAAGGCACGAGGGAGCCGGTGGGAGCCAGTGAAGGGTTTTGAGCCCGGAGGATCAGGCCTGTGTGCTGGATCATTTATGCTGGTAGTAGAGGCCAGAGCCTGCGGAAGCAGGTAGAGGCTGTTCTAGGAGTTCTTTTGAAAAGAAAGGAAAGACTGAACCAGGTTTGTACCAAAGAGATGGGGGTGGGAGTAGGATTCAAAGAAAACCGAAGCTTCTGGGAGGTAAAAGTGGAGATGATGAGATGTGGACTGAGGGAGAGTGAAGAGTCCACGAAAACCCCCACCTGCCTCACCCAGGATCGGCTCCCTCTTCTTAATCAAACGCTTTTTGAGGACTTATTAATCCTCAGGTACTCTTCCAAGTGCTTTCAACATATTCACTCACTTAATCCTTACAACCACCCTTCAAGGGAGTTGTTATCCTCCCCAATTTACAGATGAGGAAGCTGAGACACAGAGAAGTTGAATAATTTGGCTGAGGTCACACAGCTAATGAATGGCAAAGTTAAGATTTGAACCCAGGCCATCTGGCTCCAAAGTCTCTGCATTTACTACTGCTGAGGTTGCAGCGAAGCCTTGTTCCCACCAGGTAGCAGCCACCCCCTCAGTACCCACACTGATTTCCAGAGTGTTGCTTCTCCCTGAGGCTCATTCTGTAGGCGAGGCAGCTCCCAGCCTGTGTAGCCCCCAGCCTCAGCCAGCAAGGCTCTAAGACATTAAGAAGCTACAGAAGGGGAAACTGAGCCCCAACAATGCATTCTAGAACTCAATCGGGAATTTGTTGGCAGAGCTGGTACTGGGCTCCTGGTTCGTGACCGCTGTCCCTGGTTGCCCAGGCCGACAGGGCTTGAGTGGCTGTGTGTGTGCTGTGTGTGTTTGTAGAGCCCCTCCAAGATCTTTCTTATATGTCACCCTATCTGAGCCCCACATGACAAGTCAGGAAACAGAAACCTTTGACATTAAAGGGGCACATCAGAGTCACTTCGCCAGGGTGGACATAGCTGTTAAAACTCTAGTCTTGGACCTCCAGACTCACTGCTGCCTTCCCCAGGTACAACCTGGTCTTCAGGCACCGGGTGTGGTCCCCTGGACACTGCTCGTCATCCTTCCAGGCCACCTGAGGGTGACTGGAGGGGATGGGCCAGCGCAACCCTCAGAGAGGGCAGGAAGGGGTGAATTTCCCACTTTACCTCTTTTAATCCTGGCCACAGACATCCTGCCCCTAAACCTGCCATCAGATAACTCTCCCTCCCTGACAGAAGTCACCATCACCCGGCCTCTGGCTTCTGTCATCTGTAGGCATGTCCATGTACGTTCATGGCTTCAGCATGTGTCACTACCTGTATATAGTAGTATTTTTTATATTTTCAAACTTAATGAAAGTGTATCCTACTCTATATACATACAAATATATACATATATATTTGAGATTTCATTCCCCCCACTCAATATTATATCTATGAGATTTATAGATATATACTGATATATATGTAACTGCAATTATGTTAATATAGATATGTAACTCTAATTATAACCCCACTTTACAGATGAGGAACCGAGGGTCCTCACTAGGTTAAGGAGCTCACCCTAACTCACGGGACTGACCGGTGACCAAGACAGGTTTGAACTCTGTGGTCCAGAGTTCTCTCTGCTTCTGCTTCTGCTTCCTGTGCTCACCCCGCGTCCTCAGCACCTCCCTCCTACCCCAGGTGCCCAGACCCATCCTGCTGCCCCATTTTCTCTTGTTGTCTCCTAGGAAGGCATCTAAAAGACTGTTGTCACCAAGATGTTCCCCCTCCCAGGGGCACATGCATTTAAGGAAGTGATGGAAAGGGTCATTGGAGTGGGAAACTGGGGCGTCGAGGCCTGGCTCTATCAGCTGAGTGATCTACAAGCCCTTGAAGGACCAGTCTGTCCCTCTGAGCCTGTTTCCTCATCTGTATAAGGGGGCTGTTTATGAAGACCTGTGAATCATACACTTTCAGAGACTCTGTCACTGACCTGAGAGGTGAGCCTCTGTGATGGCTCCGGCTAAGGGCTGGGAGGGACCGGTGGAGGGCCCTGCTCAGCTCCCCTTCAATCCTGGCAGGCGAGTGCCTCTGGCCACACTCACCATTTGCAGCATGTTGGCGGCCGACGGGGACACCTGGGCACGGTAGAAGTTGTGCAGCTTGACCATCGCATGTCTCTCATCATCATCAAGGGCTCTGGCGAGGCCTGTGGTGGCCACCAGCAATAGCAATGGTGGCAGCAGAAGCTCCAGGAGACAGCGGGTGCTGTGCATGGTGGCAGCCCTCTCTGCCTCTCCCGCCCAGGGGTCTGGCAGCTGGATTTAAAGTCCCTCCCATACAAGCACCACCCTGGCTGGGACGGCGGGAGGGGCTGTCTGGAGGCTGATCCAGGCTCACACAATGTCTCGGGGAGGGCTGGGTGGCCTGACTGGAGTCAAGTTCACTCCCAGCATGGAACTCCCCTCCGAGTCCTTGGCAAAAGCCTCCTTTCTCGCAGTAACAGGGGCTCAGGCCAAGAGCTGTGTGAGTGCCGCAGCCCCTCCCAAGTAGTGGACAGGTCCTCCGGGGGCAAAAGCACGGCAACCTCCGCAGAGGTCACACCCGCTGGGTGCTGAAGGCAGATAAGAGGAAGGAAACCACATGGACCCCATCCCCAGAGGACTGGACAGGAGAAAAAGGTAGAGATAACTTGTGGAAGGATGGAGAACACGAGATGTATCTGGTACAGGCTGAGCCAAACTAAGTCTGAATCTTGGTTCTGCTTCTTTGCTAGCTGTGTTTTTGGCAATTTTCTCAGCTGAATCAGGGACAATAATAATACCTACTTCATAGTGCTGGAAGGAGGGTTAAATGAGATGGAATGTATATCAAGCACCCAGTACAGTATCTGGCACATAGCAGGCCCTCAGTAACAGTAGACACCACCCACCCACAGGGTGCGAACATGGCCTGCTCCCAGCACCATGCGGAGGCAGGACTCTTGCTTTTGGAGGAGGGACTGAGGTGTTTCCCACTTGAGCTGTTTCCTGTACTAGGGCAATGGATAAATTTATCCACTATGGATAAACTTTTGACTTTCATGTGCCCTCTGTGAATGCATGTGCTTGAGGTGCTCATTCGGAAGTGGGATGCTGGAACCACTACTGCTCTGAATATGTAGAAAATGGAATGTGCCTGTTTTTGAAATCAAGAGAGCAGAAAAGCAGAGGGGTGGGTGAGCTGATGCAGCAGAAGCTCTGAGGGGAAGGTATTGGAAGGGAAAGGAGCCCAGAGGTCAAGCGCTTGCACTGTAATGACCGCGCAGTGAGGTCTGGGCCTTCATGAGGCAGCTGGAACCAGTACTGTTGGTTTCAGCTGGGAACCTTGAAGCCTGCACTCTCAGTGAATGGGGACCTGCTTATTGGCTTTGGAAGATGGCAAGAAAACCTGTCACAGCTCTGGTCTCTGAGTAAAAGCAAAAGAAAAAAACAAAATAACCTGGATTTGAAAACAAACTAAACTATTGGAACTGATTTAAAAATTCAGCTAAGTTTCACAATACAAAATCAGCCCACAAAGTAAGTTGTGTTTTTATACATAATGATGAACAACCCAAAAACAAAATAATTCCAGCCCAAGCTGGGTAGCTCAGTTGGTTAGTGTTGCCTCTATATGCTAAGGTTGCAGATTTGATGCCCAGCCAGGGCACGTGAACAACAACAAATTGATGTCTCTTTCTCTCTCTCTCTACCTGACTCCCTTCCTCTTTCTCTAAAAATCAATTAAAAAAAAAATAAAGCCATTAGAAGTTGGGAGAAATATATTATTAAAAATTTTCATTTATAATAGCAATAAAAAGAATAAAATATTTAGAAGTAAACTGGACCAAGGAAGCAAAAACTTATACATTAAAAAGTACAAAACATTGCTGAAAGAAATTAAAGGAGACAAAAATAAGTGGAAAGACATCCCATGTTTATGGGTTAGAAATTTTAATACTGACCAAAGCACTATAGATTCAATGGAATCCCTATCAAAATCCAAATGATGATTTTTTGCAGAAATAAAAATAATGCACTCCCCAAAATCACGTGAAATCTCAAGAAACCCCAAATGGCCAGAATAATCTTGAGAAAGAAAAGCAAAGTTGGATGTCTCACACTTCTTGATTTCAAAACTTACTACAAAGCTACAGTAATCAAAACAGTGTATTGGCAAAGACCAATTAAGGACAGTCTTTTCAACAAATTGTGTTGTGAAAACTGAATACCCACAGGCAAAAGAGTGAAGTTGGACCCTTTCTTAATACCATCTATAAAAAGCACCCACAATGATCAAAGACCTACACATAAGAGTTAAATCTACAAAACTCTTAGAAGGAGACACAGGGGAAAAGCTTTATAACATTGTATTTGGCAAACATTTGTTAGATATGACGTCAAAAGCATAGACAACAGAGGAAAATATAGATAAATTGGACTTAAAAAATTTAATGTCTCAAAGGATGCAATGAACAGAGTGAAAGGCAATTCATGCAATGGGAGAAAATATTTTCAAATAATATATCTGATATGGGATTAATCTCCAGATTATATTAAGAGCTCCTATAATTCAACAACAGAAAAGCCAAACAGCCTGATTAAAAACTGGGCAAAGGACTGGAATTGACATTTCTCCAAAGAAGACATACAAATGGCCAAAAAGCATATGAAAAGGATGCACAATGTCACTAGTCAAAACCACAGTGAAATAGATATCACTTCACACCCATTAGGGTGACTATTATAAAAAACCAAAACACAACCCAGGAATCAGCAGGTGTTGACAAGGATATAATGAAATCGAAACTCTTGTGAATTGTTGCTGGGAATATAAAATGGTGCAGCCACTGTGGAAAATAGTATGGTTCCTCAAATAATTAAATACAATTACCCCCTGATCAAGTAATTCCACTTCTGGGTATATACCCAAAGAATTTAATGGAGAGATTTGGAGAGATATTTGTACGCCAATGTTCACAGCAGCACTATTCACAATAGCCAAAAGGTGGAAAGAATGCAAATTTTCATCAGTGAACGAATGGATAAACAAAAGGTGGTATATACACACAGTGGAATATTATTTAGATTTTTTAAAAATTTTACTTATTTTTAGAGAGAAGGGAAGGGAGGGAGAAAAAGGGAGAGAAACATCAATGTTTGGTTGCCTCTCACAAGGCCCCCTGCTGGGGACCGGACCTGCAACCCAGGCATGTGCCCTGACTGGGAATTGAAACAGCGATCTCTTAGTTTGCAAGCCGGCACTCAATCCACTGAGCCACACCAGCCAGGACTTATTCAAACTTTAAAAGGAAGGAGATTCTGACACATGCTGCAACACCGATGAAACCTGAAGACAATTATACTATGTAAAATGAGACAGGCACAAAAGGACAAATATTCTATGATTCCACTTATAGGATGACCTTGAGTAGTCAAAGTCATAGAGATAGAAAGAAGAACAGTGGTTTCCTGGGGTTGGAGGAGAGGGAAATGAGCTTCTTTTTAAATAGGTGCAGAATTTCAGTTTGGGAAGATGAAGAAGTCCTGGTGAAGATGAATGGGTGGTGATGATGGTTGCCCAACAGTGTGAATGTATTTAATACCACTGAACTGTGCACATAAAATGGTTAAGATAGTAAATTTTGTTATATATATTTTATTATAACAACAACAACTTGGGGGTTCTTCAGCTGGTCCAGTGTGAGGTGAATTGAGCAGTGGCGGGGTGGCGGGTTTCAGCAGGAGGGAGCTTTCATAACCCAGGCCACTCGGGCCGTCCATGAGAGGAAAAAGATCCTCAGGTTTTAGCTCACAGTCAGAAATTATAAAGCACACAAGGAACTGAGCTACCGTGAGCAATAGCATATAACAAAACGGGAGGACTTCCGTCTCCAAAACATGAGATAATAGAACAATCTGGAAGCCTTATAGTTATTTTCCCTTTCAAATAACTATATTTGAAATGATTAAGGAAATAAATGAATAGCTGAAAAAGGGAAAAGAAAGACTTAGGGAGAGTGGAGTGTTGCGTGGGAAAGAAATAGAAGAGTTCAGGAAAATGAGTTAGTTTATGGGGAGGGGGAGAAGATAACATGGAAAAACTCAGAGTGGAGGAGAGAGGGCTAAGAGAGAGCAGATTAGATCTAGAGCCCAGGCCACTGGGCAGCTTCCCAGAGTGTTTAGCTGCTGAAGCTGTGAGATGGATCTTTTTCCTCTGTGGACAATACTTGCTGAATCCCTGATAGCTTGGCCTGGAGGTTGAAATAAAAGACTTAGAAGAAAACGTGGACTCCCCAGGGAGTTAAAGCTCTGAAGACCTGGCCTGGGAGGCGCTGGACTCGGCAGTGGGAAGGACACAGTTCTCAGACGGCCCCTGGGCAGGGCAGTCTCTGGCATATAAGCTGCCCTGGCATGGTCGCCCCCATGGCCTATGTCTGGCTTCTCTACAGCAGGGAAAAATAACTTTGCAGGCTTAGCACAACGGACAGCATTCATTCCTTCACTCATTCATTTAGTAAAGGTTTTCAGAACTCCATTGTGCCAGGTGCTGAGCTGGGTGAAAGGACAGACCCAGTCTTTGCTGTCATGAAGCAGCAGACCCACCCAGTATATAGTGTTGTGGATAAGAGCGTGGGCTTACCAGCTGGGTGGTTTGGGGCAAGTTATTTCCCTGCCTTCTGGCCTCAGTTTCCTCATCTGTAAATTAGGCTGAGAACAGAACCTATCTCATAGGGTGGCTGAGAGCATTAAACAAGTTAGTAGTACATGGGTAGAGCTTGGGAAAGTGCCTGGCACATACTAAGTGCTCATTGAGTCAGCCAATAGGAATGTATTCATTGTTACTATTATAATAGGGGGAGAGTTTACAGGGCCTCAAGCTGCAGCAGAGGCTGGAAGCTGGGAGAGGAGGACACACCTCTGAGGCGCAGGAGTGCTGTGGTAGCTGGCGCAGGGGTGTGTGGACTGGGGAGGCAGAGAAGGAGGAGCCTGGTTTACCTGAGAGGGGAGGGTGAGCTGGGAATGAAGTCTGGTTAAGACCAGAGCCAGCAAGAGTGTTTGGGGACCAAGGGTGTACAGCCAGAGAGCCCTGCTCTGCATGTGCCCCTTCCCTCACCACGTGGGTGATCTCAGCTACTCCTCATGACAGCTCTGAGGTGGGTCTCCTAATCACCCCACAAGGAAACTGACGCGCAGGGAGGTAAAGTGATTTTTCTAACATTGCAGGGGTGGGGGTGGGGAGTCCTGGAGTGGTGACGGTGCTGGGATCAGAA